ACCAAAAAAGAAAAAAAGAAAACACTATGTTAATAAAATGAATCAAATACCTATCAATTTTGATTCTTAAGAATATTATTGATTTTTTAAGACTCAAATTTTGAAAACTACAACTGGGCACTTAATGCAGACACTTATACACATAAATCACCATAACTCAGAATTAAGTCAACAACAACAACTTTGATTTGGGTTATGCTATGCAAAGAAACATTCTTTTTTAAAGGAACAAAATGTTTTACATTAATAGAAAATTGAATAATCAGGAAAAACAAAAGTTTATCTTCAACTCAAATACACACATTCCTCTACCCACACATTTCTGAGTCAGTCCATCCTTTTTGCAAGTGAGGATACAGGAAGAATGAAGCAAAGAAACACCAGCATTTAGAGTATCCATCATCCTAACCTGTCAGCCAGTCATGAACATTGAAATAAGAGTTGGGATGACCTACCTACATAGAGAACACCCTCTTTTGTCTTTCCAGCTGCCTCTGCCACACCCTGTTTGGTCTTTTCAGCTGCAGCCACCACGCCTTCCTTAGCCTTTGAAAGTCCTTTCATGAATACATCCATGGCTTATGAGTTCCTGAACACCACTCTGAAGAACACAAAACACTTCGGATGAGAACTTTTTGGTAAAACAACACAACATTTAAAACAGTCAAGGTGAAAAGCAGAGGAATCAGTAGAACCCCCCAAAAATGTGTATTATTTTTTTTAAGCTTACCATCACTTGACCACTGAACAAAACAGCCCTTCTTAAGCTGTTACACTCAAAATTTAGCATCCCCTACATCCACCGCGTCAGGGGGCCCTGGTGGCCTTTACTAGATTTAGTACTGGGCTGTTGACCACAAGGTCAGCAGTTCAAATCCACCACGTGCTCTGTGAGAGCAAAAAAACGAGGCTTTCTGCCCCCATAAACATTTACAGCCGGGAAAGCCCCCAAATACAGTTCCAGTTGGCCCTATGGGTCGGTATGAGTCAGAACGGACTCCATGGCCGTGGGGGCACATGTCTAGCTGCCTGCACATGGGTTAGGATGACTCCTCAGTACTGTTCCCACTATGTTTCACACGCGGAGTAGCATGGAAGAATGGACCTCTCTTTTAACTTCCTAGGACCCAATTCGTGACCATTTAAGTTAGCAGCACATTTGGAAGAAAACCCACAGAGAAGGAAACGGAGTTGTAGGCGTGTTTCAGAGGCATCTTAGAAATGAATTTCAGAAGACTGGAGAAGAGAGGGAAGAGAGAGAAGCCTGGGTGTGGCTCACGCTGAGGCCGCAGTAGCCCGCTGAAGCCTCCCTCTCTAATCTCGCGGACCATCCGCCCGCCCTCAGCTATCTACCCAGGGCAGGCGGCGCGGTTCACCTCCAAGAAAGGTCTCCAAACCGGTGCCAATGGCCGGCAGTGGTTAGTAGAAACCAGCCTAGAGACTGGTTTCTACAGAGTCCTCAGAGTCGTGCCTGCACCTGTTAACCCTTTAACACCTGTTGACTTGCTTTTCCAGAGCTGCTTCAATCTCTTGCTCCTCGCTCGCTC